TGGGACCCCTGGGGTGGGACCCCTGGGGTGGGAGGATAAGGGTGTCCTGGGGATGGAGACCCCCGGGATGGGACCCCTGGATGGGACCCCTGGGATGGGACCCTGGGATGGGACCCCAAAGTCTCCTGGGGATGGGACCCCTGGGATGGAGACCCCCGGAATGGAGACCCCCGGGATGGGACCCCTGGGATGGGACCCCTGGGGTGGGAGGGTAAGGGTGTCCTGGGGATGGAGACCCCCGGGATGGGACCCCTGGGATGGGACCCCAGAGTCTCCTGGGGATGGGACCCCTGGGATGGAGACCCCCGGGATGGAGACCCCCGGGATGGGACCCCCGGGATGGGACCCCTGGGATGGGACCCCAGAGTCTCCTGGGGATGGGACCCCCGGGGTGGGACCCCTGGGGTGGGAGGGTTAGGGTGTGCTGGGGATGGGACCCCTGGGATGGAGACCCCTGGGATGGGACCCCCAGGATGGGAGGGTAAGGGTGTGCTGGGGATGGAGACCCCCAGGGTGGAAGCCCAGGGGACAGGACCCCTTGAGGCTGGGGGTGGCGTCCCTGGGGTCCCTTGGGGTGTCTCTGGGGTCCTTGGGTGTCCCTGGGGGTGTCCCTGGCTGTCCCCAGGTGTCCCTGGCTGTGTCCCCAGGTGCCCCCAGGTATCCCCAGGTATCCCCAGGTGTCCCCACCTGTCCTCCTCGGGGATGTGCAGGGCCATCATCTGCAGGGGCTCGGAGCACTCGACGGCCCAGCCCTGGCGCTCGCCCAGCCGGGCGCTCTCCACGCCCAGGTACTGGGTGGGCATTCGGCTCCAGGTGACGGGGGTCAGGTGCTGGATCAGCAGCCGGGGGGGGCACTGGGGGGCCGGGTTCTGCCGCTCGCTGCTGAACATGGCGGCCGAGATGGGCATGATGTTCTGGGGGGGCAAAGAGGGGCTGTCACTTCTGGGGAGACACAGGGAACCCCTGGTTTGGGGACCCTGGGGGACAGGAAACCCCCCAGGGATGGGGGGAGCTTTGGTTTGGGGACCCTCGGGGACGGGGAACCCCCTGGGGGTGGGGGTGATCCTGTTTTAGGGACCCTTGGGGACAGGAAACCTCCTGGGGGTGTGGGGAGCCCTGGTTTGGGGACCCTCAGGGACAGGGAACCCCCCAGGGATGGGTGTCCCCCTGTTTTAGGGACCCTCGGGGACAGGGAACCCTGGTTTGGGGACCCTTGGGGACAAGGAACCCCCCAGGGATGGGTGTCCCCCTGTTTTGGGGACCCTCGGGGACAGGGAACACCCTGGGGATGGTGGGAACGGTTTTTTGTGGGATTTTTGGGGATAGGAACCCCCCCAGGATGGGTGTCCCCCCGTTTTGGGGACCCTCAGGGACAAGGAACACCCCCAGGATGGGTGTCCCCCTCTTTTGGGGACCCCTCAGGGACAGGGAACCCCCCCAGGGATGTTGGGAACGGTTTTTTGTGGGATTTTTGGGGATGAGGAACCCCCCCAGGATGGGTGTCCCCCTCTTCTGGGGGCCCCACACACCCCCAGGTCACCCCACAGACCCCCGAGCCCTCCTTGTTCCGGCTCACCGCCCCTCCACCCCCTCCCCAGCGCTCCCAGTACCCCCCCAGCACCCCCCAAAAAGGTGGGTGGGGGTCCCAAGCTCACCTTCAGCTTTCCCAGCTCGAACTGCAGCACGTTTTGGGTGGTGGGCTGCACGAACACCGCCGGGAACAGTTTGGTGTTGGGCTCCACCTGCGGGACAGCGTCACCCTCAGACCCCCCGGGGTGGGCTGGGACCCCCCAAAACCCCCCTGGGCGGGGGTCTGGGGCGGGGGTCCGGCTCACCTGGAAGAAGGTGTTGATCTCTTTGCCGTTGGCGGTGAAGGTCATCAGCCCCGTGGCCAGGTCCACCAGGCAGCCGATGACCAGGTCGGTGTGGGACACCCTGGCCTGCTGGGTGGGGGTCGCAAACTCCCCCCCCCACACCATGTAGCAGTTGCTGCGCTTGATGCTGGGGGGAAAATGGGGGTGAGACCCCCGGGGACCCCAAAAATGGGACCCCCAGACCATGGACCCCTCCCCTTTTTAACCCCCAGAACAGGGACCCCTCCCCTTTTTAGCTCCCAGAGCAGGGACCCCTCCCCTGTTCGACCCCCAGACCATGGTGCTGGGGGGAAAGAGGGGGGTGAGACCCCCAGTGAGCATCCAGGATCCCATCCAGGATCCCATTTAGGATCCCATCCAGGATCACATCCAGGATCACATCCAGGATCCCATCCAGGATCCCATTTAGGATCACATCCAGGATCACATTTAGGATCACATCCAGGATCCCATTCAGGATCCCATTTGGGGTCCCCTCTGGGGTCCTGTTTGGGGTTCCATTCAGGTTCCCCAATTCAGGGTTCCCTCTGGGGTCCCATTCAGGTTCCCATTCAGTTTCCCATTCAGGCTCCCATTCATGTTCCCATTCAGTTTTCCCATTCAGGTTCCCCTCTGGGGTCCCATTCACGATCCCATTTAGGGTCCCCTCTGGGGTCCCGTTAGGGGTCCCATTCAGGATCCCGTTTTGGATCCTGTTTGGGGTCGAAATAGGTTCCCATTCAGGATCCATTAAGGATCCCATTTGGGGTCCCATTCAGGATCCCATTTAGGGTCCCCTCTGGGGTCTCGTTTGGGGTCCCATTCAGGTTCCCGTTTTGGATCCTGTTTGGGGTCCAAATAGGTTCCCATTCAGGATCCATTAAGGATCCCATTTGGGGTCCCATTCAGGATCCCATTTAGGGTCCCATTTAGGATCCCATTTAGGATCCCATTCAGGTTCCCATTCAGGATCCCATTCATGTTCCCATTCATGTTCCCATTTAGGGTCCCCTCTGGGGTCCCATTCATGTTCCCATTCACATTCCCATTCAGGATCCCATTTAGGATCCCATTCATGTTCCCATTTAGGATCCCATTCATGTTCCCATTCACGTTCCCATTCAGGATCCCATTTAGGATCCCATTCATGTTCCCATTTAGGATCCCATTTGAGTTCCCATTCATGTTCCCATTCACGTTCCCATTCAGGATCCCATTTAGGATCCCATTCATGTTCCCATTTAGGATCCCATTTGAGTTCCCATTCATGTTCCCATTCATGTTCCCATTTAGGATCCCATTTGAGTTCCCATTCATGTTCCCATTCACGTTCCCATTCAGTTTCCCATTTAGGATCCCATTCACGTTCCCATTCAGGATCCCATTTAGGATCCCATTCACGTTCCCATTTAGGATCCCATTTAGGATCCCATTTGGGGTCCCCCCCGGGGTCCGGTTTGGGGGTACCTGTCGTGCACGTTGCCGCGCTCGTCGCCCATGGTGACGGTGACGCTGCGCACTCGCGCCAGCTCGAAGTCGGGGTCGTGCTGGTGGAAGTGGGGGGTGACCCAGCCCACCCAGGCACTGCCCGGCTCCTGCCCCGCAAACAGCCGCACCGAGAAGTAGTACTGGGGGGGAAAACGGGGGGGACACTGTCAGGGACACGGGGACACCATCAGGGACACGGGGACACCGTCAGGGACATGGGGACACCGTCAGGGACATGGGGGGGACATGGGGACACCATCAGGGACACGGGGACACCGTCAGGGACATGGGGACACCGTCAGGGACATGGGGACACCGTCAGGGACATGTGGGGGACACGGGGACACCGTCAGGGACATGGGGACACCATCAG